CCCATAATTCTTATTTATGTTTAGCCATGTGGCTTGGTACCTTTTCTCAGTTCTACCTTGACATCTTGATTCCTCTGTGTCTGGCTGGTGACTCTTGACTCAGCCTTTCTCTTCCCAGAATTCTCCTTGTCTGCTTATCCCGCCTATACTTCCTGGCTACTGACCAATCAGCATTTTATTATCAACCAATCAGAGCAACACATCCACAGCATACAGAAAGACATCCCACAGCAGGGTCCTGAGGTCAGAATCAAAGCCCAAGCCTCTGTTTTGCTCCTTTTTTCCTGTCCACGCTGAGCTGAGGAGACTGTAGTAGGTCACTACCAGGGCCCTTGGCCAGCCTCGGGCCACAGCATCTTGACAGAGTGGCCTCTGCTGGGCCTCAGCATAGGTCTGGGAGATCCGGCTCTCATCTCCTTGACTGGGACTTTGTGCTTCTGACTCTCCCCGGTCAGGGGCCGTCTAATAGTCTCTAGCAGGAAACATGACTAAGCAATGGCAACTTTCTCATGGTACATTTTGAATAAGGTTGAGGTTATAGGTCTAATTGAGAGCATTACATAGCAATGTGCCAAAGCTATTCGTAGTCTTAATGTTTTGGTTTTTGGTATTTACCATAGTACTTAGGTTTCACTGCTTTGGTAGAAATACACGTGTGGCTTAGATGGTATCTGTGCTAATAATTTAGACAAAACAGAAATTATCAGCTTTTGAACTCAAGAAATAACCTGATATAATACTTAAAAAAACTGTACAGTGATAATTGAATAAACATTTAGAGATAGTAAACAGGAAATTTATGATTATCTTGGGGAAGTAAACGCAGGTTGTGTGAGAAACTGGGACTATGGTTGATTCCCCGGGAGTCTCCGGTTCTTTGGGAATGGGGCTGGTTCCTCTCTTAACATCATCTTTGAACAACTCTCAGCGGAATGTTCCAGATGTTGGCACAGCTCTCTGAAAGTCTGCTGCCAGCTGTTGGGGTAACAAGCAATTGACGATTCACTGATTGGTAATAATGTGGTTTTGTGGGTTCTTTTTTCTTTCAGTCAATTACAGTTAAAGAATCTTCATGAAGATTTGTCAGGTAGATTAGAAGAATCCTTATCAATCATCAGTGAAAAAGTACCTTTTAATGATACAAGTAGGTATTACATAAATGTAAGTTTTCTGTTATTTGCATCTTTGAATCTCTCTGTGGTAGCTGGTTAAGTAAGATAATTTCAGATCTCATTAAAAAAGCCGAATTGGCCCAGTGGAGGGCTCTGTCTGGCTCCCTTGATCAGCTGTGGGCATCTTGTTTCCTAAGGACATTTTAAATGATCTCCTAAGTGCTCCAAAGCCAGTCTTCTCGGAAGATGGCCAATGTATTCTTTTAACTGCGCTTCTCATGTCCCAGGACAAACCCACCTTCCTGTGAAGTGGCAGGATGTTTGTATGAGAAGCTCTTCAGTGGGTCTGTGGGTGCATGGGTCCACAGTGGATGTGTCTTTTCAGCCTGTTAGCTTCTGCACCTTGGGGAATCCCCAGTGACGGGATGGTGTTGGGAAGGCTAGTTTTGTTTCCTCCTGGGGATGGCCTGGTAGCTCACATATCCAAGAGTAACCAAAAGAACTGAAACAATACCCTAGAACAGCACTCACATGTCACTAGATGTTTAACCTGTAGGTAAGAATTAAACGAAACCCTGGAAAGCAAAGAACATGTATTTGGGAGGCCAGCGAAATGGCTAAGTGGGTAAAGGTGCTTGCTGCCAAGCCTGACGACCTGAGTTAGTCCCCAGAACTCACTCCCGGAAGTTGTCTTTTGACTTCGATCTGCTGTGGCGTTCAGGTGCCTGATCCCACCTGCTCAAGCAAATAAATTAGTTTTTAAAAATGGAAAAGCATTTTTTTAAAAATGTTTGGAATTTGAAGCCTAGAGCTACTTAATACACACTTCCTTCTACAGCTGCATTTGAAATTTTTTTTTTTTTGGTTTTTCGAGACAGGGTTTCTCTGTGTAGCTTTGCACCTTTCCTGGAACTCACTTGGTAGCCCAGGCTGGCCTCAAACTCACAAAGATCCACCTGCCTCTGCCTCCCGAGTGCTGGGATTAAAGGCGTGTGCCACCACCGCCCGGCTGAAATTTATTTTTTAGTTCCCTTAAACTTTTCTTAGAAAAGCTGGGGGTGGTGGAGGAGAAGAGAAACAGCACTTTGATCACATCTAAAATCAGCATCGGTGGGGCTCAGCTGCTGAGAGCACTGGTTGCTTTTCCAGAGGACCTGGTCTCTGTTTCCAGCTCGCACATGGTAGCTCGTAACTGTCTGTAGTTCCAGTTCCAGGGGGTCTGATGCTGCGGGCATCCACGGGGTGCACAGACGTGCCCTGTAATTGTTTTCTAACTAGAGTTGTTTATACAGGCAAGACACACAAAGACATCAACTAGTTCAAATCAGCACAGGCCACGTCTGTGTCAACAACCTAAATCCTGCCTTGAAAGCAGGGCCTGTTTGCAGCTTCCACACTCTGCATGGCGTCCCTGTACCCTGGCTGCGCCTGTGGAGCCCTGGTGGTTACTTGTTATTCTTTGTAGCCATTAGTGACTAGTAGCTTTTGGATCTTATGCACGTCTACTTCCTTTGCCAATACTACTTGGCATCCAGTTTTAGATACTTGTCACATCGTATCTGTGGTCCCACCTGCACATGTGTGGTACACACAGTATCACACACATGCACACTCACATGCACACAGAGACTTTTTTAAAGAACACTTTCACTTTGGCCCTGGTCCTAGCATCCAGCAGGGGAGGAGATGAGGAATGGTCTTTGGGACAGAAATGGAGAAGTCTGGAATACCTGTCCTGGAAAGCAGGAGAGGGCACAGCAGTGAAGGCCTAGATTGGTTTCCTAGTAGAGCAGAAGTCTCCACTGAAGTCATATGGAATATATCTCAGCAGACCTGGCTCTGGCTTGGTTAGCAGCATTGTGGAGGTGAGAGACCAGCTTTGGGGGGACAAGAAGCAAGGCCCCAAGAGGGCTGATAGAAGGCAGAGGTGCTGAGGGACAGGGCAAGCTGGGACCACAGTGAGTGACGGCAGTGGAGACTTAGCCGCGGTGAGAAGGCACAGGGACTTTCCCAGTGGCTGTGAGTGACCGGGTGGTGACGGGAGACGAAGGCCTAACATGACAGCTACAAGCACTGTGCTGCCTGGTGTTAGGCCGCGTCCGAGGTGGGGGACAGCCTGGGCGGCAGGGGACAGCCTGGGCGGCGGGGGACAGCCTGGCCATGAGGGCTGAGGAAGACCGTGGGAGCAGCGGCCCCAGACAGTGGAAGGTGGTCCTGTTAGGGAGCTGGCGTTTTGGAGGGTTATTGTAGACGGACTGATGACAGCGAGAACATCCAGAGCCTTTGGAAGGAATCGTGAGAGGCCGCGAAGAGGTGTGTGAAAGGATTTCTTTGACTTGGAAATCCAGGAGTAGTTTGTTTGTTTCTTGTAATCCCGAAGCTAAACAAAGAAACAGTTATTACTGCTCTAGAAACTGCAGATCCCTGTGTATTCCACCCCCCTGTGCTTGATGACGTGTCGGCATTTTGAATTCTCCTGGGAAGCTGTTTGGCAGTGCTCCTCTGCAGAGTGAGGTGAGCTCTCACGGCATCCCTTTTGTTTTGTAGAGTATAATCTGTACAACCCTCTCAACGTTCCACCGCACAACAGGAGACACCAGGTAAAGGATGCAGCGAGGGTGTGTTCCTAGTTCAGCCACGTGTGCACGGTCCTACCAAGGGAAGTTAGCTGTCTGGGTCTGTGATGGGCCAGGCCACCACATTACTGTCATCCGTTTCTTCAGATGTAGGAGCTGCTCTGATTGAATTCATGCTCTGCTGAGTTTTTACGTCTTCGTGTATTTTTTACATTTACTTATTTATTGGGGGGCCTGAGGACAGTTAGTGGGGGTCCATCCCCTCCCCCCACTACATGGGTCCTGTGTGCTGGGCTTCGATCATCAGGCTTGGTGGCATTGGTGACAAGCACCTTTACCCAGCACTGATTGTTTATTTTGTTTAGACAGGATCTCATTGTGTAGCTCCGGTGGTCCTGGAACTCACTCTGTAGACCAGGCCTCAACTCACAGAGATGCCCCGCCTCCACCTCCCAAGTGCTGGGATTAAAGGCGTGTGCCCCCATACCTGGCAGTACCACTGATTTTTGATGTTTTTCTCATTTTTTTTTTCACATTAGAACTGAATTATGGGATGCCTTACTGTTTGAAGCAGGCTTTTATTTTAGGGTGGTGGGCATTGTGCTTAAATAGCTACGGTATATTTGCCAAAGCCAATGGCTTCCTGACTTACTTGGATGGGAGGACACTGATGTTCAAGTGGGAGCAAATGGGGACTGAGGAGTGATCTCACTGGGTCCAAGTGCTTTAAAACAATCGCCGCATAGTTGACTGTGTGCACTTTGCATTTTAAAGCTGAAGATGCGGGATATAGCTGGGCAGGCCCTGGCTTTTGTTCAGGATCTCGTTCCGGCTCTTCTGAACTTTCACACCTATACAGAGCAGAGGATTCAAATTTTCCCTGTTGATTCGGCCATAGATGCCATATCACCACTGAATCAGAAGGTAAGTAGTCACGATGCCTTTTGCTGCCCTGGACAGAGCGGGAGAACAAATTGGGAATTCCGTTCAGACCACTTCCTGTATGAGCCAAGTATGGTGGGAAATACGGAAGAAATCACAAGTCATGGTCTCCACCAGAACAGATTATGGCTAATACAGGGTGTTAAGAATTATCAGAAGACCACGGAGTGAGCAGTTGAGGAAGTGATTGAATGAGTGTGTGAATGAGTGAGTGAGCAAGTGAGCAGGCCATCCAGCTACCAGTGTGGCCAGGAAGTGTGGTTTTTGGGGATGAGCAATGCTCCGTGAAGAATCTGCAAAGACTGTCTGGGTTTTGGAGCCTTGAAGACTGAGCAAGATTGAATATAGGGGCCTGGAGAGATGGCTCAGCAGTTAAGAGCACTGGCTGTTTTTCCAGAAATCCTGAGTTCAATTCCCAGCAACCACATGGTGGCTCACAACCATCTGTAATAAGATCTGGAGCCCTCTTCTGGCATGAAGACATACATGCAGGCAGAACACTATACATAATAAATAAATCTTTAAAAAAAAGAAAAGATTTGAATACAGGAAGAGGGATGGTGATTGGCTCCCGCCACGCCCTTGGTATTTTTGAACTCTCAGAAGGAACTATGTGAGTAGAAATGTGAAGCAGGGCGGGGCGGTGGTGGCGCACGCCTTTAATCCCAGCACTTTTCGGGAGGCAGAGCCAGGCGGATCTCTGTGAGTTCGAGGCCAGCCTGGGCTACAGAGTGAGTTCCAGGAAAGGCGCAAAGCTACACAGAGAAACCCT